TACTGCCAAAAATCAATAGTAAACATAGCAGGATAATAAAATGATATACAAATAATGGAAAAACCAAACAAAACTTTTTCAGCCTTTAAAATCTTTCTTTTTTTCCTGAAGTTGTTACAAAGCTATTATAAACTATCAAGGTGAGTGAGAGATTTAGGTGAATGAAAGATTTAATAAATGCTGCTTAACATAATTGATCATGAGAGAAATGCAAGTTAAAACTACAATGAAAAATTGTCTCGCTCCTCATAAAACAGTTTTTATAAAAAAGACAGACAACGGTGATGCTGGTGAAGATGCAGCCAACGGAGAGCCTTGGTTGGAGGAAATGTAAATTAGTACAGCAACTATGGAGAGCAATTTGGAGGTTCCTAAAAAAACTAAAAATAGGCTACTGTATGATCCAGCAGTCTCACTGTTAGGTATATATACAACAGAAAAGAAATGTATGTATCAAAGGGACATCTGCATTCCTATGTTTTTTGCAGTACTATTCCAAGATTTGGAATCAATGTAAGTGTTCATCAACAGATGAATATATAAAGAAAATATAGTGCATATTACACAATGGAGTATTATTCATCCATAAAAAAAATGAAATCTTATTATTTGCAACAACATGGATGAATCTGGAGAATGTTTTGTTAAATAAAATAAGCCAGGCACAGAAAGACAAAATTTGCATGTTCCCACTTATTTGTGGGAGGTTTAAATTAAAATAATTGAACTCATGGAGATAGAGTGTCTAGTGATGGTCATGAGAATCTGGAAAGGGTAGTAGCAAGGGAGAGGAAAAGTGGGGAAGGTTATTAGATACAAAAATATGGTCAGATAGAATGAATAAGACCTACAAGTTGATAACACAATAGTAGAATGACGGCAGTCAACAGTAATTTATCATATATTTTAAAATAACTAAAAGAGTACAATTGGAATGTTCATAACACAACTAGATGATAACTATTTGAGGTGAAGTCTACCCCATTTACTTTGGTGTAACTATTACACACTGTATGACTGTATCAAAATATCAAATATCTCCTATTTATTTTTTTACCCATAAAATTATTTCCTTTAAAAATGCAAAAAGTGAGTTATTCCTCTCCCATCAAAGATAATTCATGTAAATAAACTTTCCATCAGCAGAGAGCAACTTGCCTACTACTAGGTATTCATATCTAAGTTAGTTATGAAAGTAATTTCTTTCTACTATATAATATGATTCAGGTGTCGCTAAATACATTATTTCAAGTGCCACTTTTAGCGTCAACTATTTACATAATTTCATTGCACTATAAAGAATATTAATATAATAAACATATTCATGATATAGCAACTTTATTAGCAAATATATACGTGAAGTTAAATTTGAATGGAACACATTTTGAAATGCCCAATGTTTTTTTTCTAACAATGGGATTCTTTTTCTCCCCATTCAATATCTTTTTATTCTCCATTTAAATTCTGTTTGATCTTGAATTTATTGCATACTTGATAAAAGAAGCTCAAATAAACATATGTCTACACAATTTTTAAAAAGACAGCTCTTTTTTTCTCTTTTTCATGAACCCTACTTCCCAGGAATAAGCTTTGTTGAACGTATGTTGCATATTTTTTCCACACTGTTGCTACTAACATAAGAAATTATAAATAACATTATTTCAAGTTCAGAATAAATCAGTTGTGTATGACTTTTCCATTTGTATCTACCCAATGCACTTATTCTTAACAGTGTCTAAAATGTCTAAAGGGAGAGAAAATTTTCACAAGTTCAGTCATATTTTATTCTATAACTGTACATTATTTGAATCAAGGTACTGAAAACTTCTTAATTTTCTGACCTTTGAAAACTCAGTGTCTAATTGTCAGTCTTGATTTTGTTAGTTTAATTTTCATCATCTGACATCTCTGATTAAAGGTAGCCTACCTTATCAAAAAATCTTTTATGTTTGGAATTAAGGGACTTACATTCAAATGTTTTGGTTTACTGGTTGCTAATCAATTATCCTGGGCTATTTGTGAGAAATCTATATTTATCTTGGGCTTGTTGTGAGAGCCTAAAGAACAAATGAACCTAGCATTTTGGTTAATTTTTATGCAAAAGTTTTTAATGTGTTATCTGAAGTATTATTAGCTTTTCAAATTGTGTCTACTTAAAAATATGCCTAGCAATAATTAATGTTTCTAAATAGACATGACATTTCATAAAGGAATTGATATTTGTGGACTATGTAAGTTTAAAAACCCATACACAATATAACCAGCACATAAAATAATGATTTTTATGGAGAGCCCTTCAATGAGAATCATTTGTTACCCTCAAAAGAAATTTATTTGAAAGTTTTTAATGATGAATTAATTAATATAAAATAAATATATATAATTTTCATGAGTGAATATTTAGTGAGTGCTTATGACATCAGCTTACAATGTCTTTCCTGAATGAGCCAAATATGTTAATACAAATTATTTATTTTTCTATTATTTGAAATTATTACAATAGTCCCACATTTTTTAGTACTAATGATTATAATACCATGTGTATTTTGCTTAAAGATTATATCCAATTGTGGTAATCAAAATATAAGCAAAAAATTAAAAACTCATTAATTTGTTTATATTAAAAAGATGACTTTTAACCAGGAGCTCCTTTTGTCTTAATTACGATAGTTTCATTATGCAAAAACACAGGTACACTATACCTGCAATTATTCACAAGAGTACTTACTTTTTTTAAGGGTCCCACAAATATTCATTCATATTTATTAATATTGGTTTAACTTAGAATTCTAAGGATTTGCATTACTTATAAAATAGTACTAAAGTTTTCAACTATAAAGTTAAACATTAATTGGAAGGTCATTAGACTGAGACAGCTCCAATGTTCTTATTTGCTATATAAGAAAACTGGAAACCAACTCAGAATAAACAAACACATCAGAAACCACCAATTAACCTCTAACTATAGACTACTGTTCCACTTTAATCAATTTAATATTTTGTCTTGTTCCCATGTGCACCTTATAAAAGTTTCCCCCTGGTGCTTCTTGATGGGGTTCTACACATCTAGGGCTACCTGATTTACAAGCTATTGTTTGTTCAAATAAACTCTATAATTGTAGTGTGTCTAAGTTTATCACTTAACAGTGTAAAGAAAAAATAAAATCTTATATGAATGGTGAGCAATAGCAATTTTTTAGAACACACAGATGATTGACAATAATGTATTTAAGTTAATTTGCGCTAAGTATAAAACATGTAAATTTTCAGAATAATGCATATTTAAATAATACATCGCTAAAATATTTTAGAGTAATATAAACCAAGAAGATATTTATTTCTCATCCACAGGGATTATGATAAAACTATATGTATAATTAAACAAATTATTTAGAAAATAACAACAATCTCTATAAAAAGCAATAAAGATAACAACATAGAATATTATGGCTGTAGAATTGCTCAATAGATTAGTAAAAATGTTTCAAATGAGAAAGAAAATATTAAATTAGTACCAATAAAGACTGCAGGATTGTAAAAAATACAAAAATACTGTTCTTTAGAAAAAAAAGAAGAATGAGCATTTGATGCATTAGTATATTTTTTAGTTAATTGAGATCTTCTGTCTTCTTAAACAAATACATGCAAAATATTTAACTAATTTGTAAATAAAATGAAGTACGTTTAGTTACACTCTCAAATTAAAATTAGCTCCTACTCTGAAGAACATAACAGTCATTATCTAGATGCTATTTAGATACTAACTCAAGATAATTTGCATTTTTGCCACACATAACATTGACTATTTCTCTCAATAGTAATGCCCTTTGTAAACTACTCTCTTGTAAATAATAATTTAATTTTATAGTAATATTTCAAAAATTAAAAGAATAGTATGTTATTAGAATGGTTGCAATAGTTAGCTGATAGATTGGACTCTACCCCACCTAAATTAATTATTCAATGCCAAATGTTCCTTCTAATGAATTTCCAGATACTGACTTAAATTCAATGTCCACATTTATATTACTATCATGGTTGAACTACAGTAATATATTTCTGGAATGCTTGTAAGAGTGCATAAATAGATGTGTGTGTGTGTGTGTGTGTGTGTGTGTGTGTATGTGTGTGTGTGTCCCAGATTTAAAAATGGGGAAGGAGAAAATACTGAAAACATTTACGTGCTTGGATAATCTATCCTTTCTATTAAATCATTAGTATTAAGCATTGCATGCATTAAATATTGCATGCAAACAATCTAAAACTATGCATACACATTTTCAACTATTGTAGGTAATCAGTATATGAACTAAATTAAATTTTTTTCACTTCAAACTAAAAATATTTAGAAGTTAAGTGCAAAATCGCTATCAAATTTAATGAATTTTCATAAACTGATAGAAAATCAATATGGCCCTAAATAATCAGATGTCTCGTTCATATAACTTAGAATTATCAGTCACAAATATATAATACATGTTTAGAAATCTTAGCTTTCAAGTATATTTGACTTTATGGCATAATTTAAGTAATTGTTATAAATACAAAACAAAGACAACAATATGAAATTCCTTAAGTTTTCTATGAAATAAATAATATACATCCAAGATAACCTGACCTTCTTTAATTTTTGACAGAATAGTATATTTTATTTCAGGTTTTAGGCACACTTCCTAACGTATACTTGACTTCCACTTAGTATGATTGTGAATCCCACAAAAGAATACTTTTTCCCCAGTTATTAGCCCTAGTTACAAGTAGTTTTATTTTTTGAAATCTTTATAACTTTTATTTCTAAAAAGATTAACTACCTAAAATGATACTTTAACTTTTTTCCAAAAAAGGAAAATAAGTAAAAACACAACAAAACATAAAGTCACAATCTCTTAAAAATGTGAATCTTTATTGCTGCATTCATAAAATATTCTGCAATCTTCAAATCAGTCTAATCATTTTCAAACATATAAATGCATATTTCCAATAAAGATTAACTACCGTACCTATGTGCTGGTATCTTTCTGTTCCCAACAATCAGGATAACATCACACAGTTGTTGTTGCTTCAGGTAACTTTCCATCTTTCTGAAGGTTTGCTCAGCATGGTGAACAGCTTGATAGAATTCTTCTGAACTACTGGAGTCCAAATCACTTTGGGGTGTCATCGAATTGCTGGTTGCTGACAGCCTGTAAACCACACCCACACAAAAAGTTAATAAAGTCTTTTATAAAGTGACGATTTTCCAGAATAATACCCAGATCTTTAGAATTTTTTTGAGAAAATTAATGAATCTTTTTATTTTTATGTTTTGTTAATGCAGGCCTAATAAAAAAAATTGATAAATTTATTTTGAGCTAAGTGATTTGCTCAAAGAAGTAATAAATAAATTAAAAATCATTCTTTTCTCATCTTAAAAAAGGTTTAAAAATAAGTTGTCTGTATTTATTAAGACATTAAGTTAGTAACCTGAAAAGGTCACAGAGACAGTAGATTATTAACATAATTATTCTAAAGTTAATTAACAATCAAATGTTAAATTTAATCATTTTATGTAAAAAAAAGGTAATCTAATTATACTATTCTAAACAGTTATAATTCTTGAGATGTTATACTAAACATCACTTTACAGAGATTGTTAATTTTTTAATGAAAAGTTATAAAACGTGCTCTGTACAAATGTTATTTCATGTTCTGTACGCAACTGATTAAAAAGAAAATACACATAATATACTATCTCAATACCTATAAATACTTCAATCACTAATAGATACGTTTAATAAACTTTATGACTTTGAAAAGTCCATAATACTAAAGTTTGCCTATTGCATGTATTAATAGTATAGTCTGTTTCACAAAGACTTTAAAAAATGCCATACTCTAGGGGTACTCAACCCCAGGAATTGAACCAGTACCAGTCCATGGCCTATTAGGATCCAGACTGACCAGCAGAAGGTAAGCAGCGGGCAAGTGGAGCTCTACCTTCTGTTAGATCAGCAGAGGCATTAGATTCCCATGGAATGAACCCTACTGTGCACTGCACATGTGAGGGATCTTGATTGTGCTCTCCTTATGAGAATCCCTTACCTGATTTCCCCTGCTGTGGAAAAATTGCCTTCCCAAAAACCTGTCCCTGATGGCAAAAAAGGTAGGAACTGTTGCAATACTCTATGAAGAAGAGTCTCAATATTCTTAGATACATGAGGTAACCCAGTAAATGCAAGCAATTGTTCTGATAACAAATTCTTAACTAACACATAAAAATAATAATGAACTTGCTTATTTCATTATGAATATCTTAGGAAGTAACATAGAGAACTCTACTTCCAATTGCAATGTAATATTTTGTAACTGACTAAATCACTCACTATAATACCAGAAAAAATATTACAGAAAATCAAAATAACTCTTTGGGCCCAATATCTACTAAGGCAATCAAGACTTAGAAGACCAAGATCCTAAAGATAAATTCATTGAAGTCATCTTGAAATTCTTCTCTGCTTTTGCTTTCTTTCTTAAGGTATTTGCTAATTATAAGCAACATAGAGTGAAAATCCAAGAAGCTCTGCATAATGGGGCAACAAAGCAGAACATCTGAAGATAATACAAAGACTGAAGTCTAGATTTGAATCAGTGAAAATCATTGATTGCATTAAGGTAATCCTTTAATGAAAATATCAGCAAACAATAAAAATAGTACTTTTAGAACAAAAAAAATCTTATCCCGACTCTGTGATTTCTTGTATTTAATGCCTGACATTAAATAAAAAAATTATAAATCTATGAAGTAGCAGGAACTAGTGAGAATCTCATACAACACAAACAGGATCCCAGGTTTTACAAATATCTGGATCATGATTAGTACTTAAAAAATGTAAAAATAACTTTCATTAGTATTTCAATATAAATGATAAGCTAGATAAGCTCAAGTTATATTAAAAATTCAAATAGAAATATATAACTTAAGTTTTTGATGGATGAATTTAAATGGATGATTAGATGCAGGTGAAAAAATATAGAGGTCTCTTTAAAATAAACTAATAGAAAATACTCAAACTAAATAAAATATTGTTTCAGAAACAAATGAAAGATGATAAACATTATAATCTTAACATAACCCATAAAATTTGCAATTGTAAAAGTCAGGGAAAGAGATGATAGGACAAAAATCATCTGAAGAAATAATGACCAAGAATTTTCAAAAATGTGTTAAAGACTTCAAGGAAAAGATTCAAATGAAATTGGACTTAATTAAAAAACGTATTTCAATCATATAAACCACCTGATACATGTATTTGGCAAATACCATATTTAATTGAAACTTCTTCCTTTTTGAGAGTAACACTTAAGCAACATTTTTCTGCAGGCCTTGCCAGTATAATATAAACAAAGAAAAGATCAACCCAGTGTTATTAGATATGGAAATATATAACTGATATTATTTTGGGAAGATGTGTTTGTGTACATAGAAAATTTTAAAGAACCTACTGAAAAGCTTATAATGATCAATCCATTACAATTATTTGTGTTTTTGGTTATCTACAATATTTAGCTATATAATATGGTCATTTTCATCAAACTTTACAAGTTCTTCTTTAATTATTTAAAATTAATACAAATCTTGCTGTACCATAAGTTTTCACAAGTTTCCAAGTTACAACCCTAGAATATGATCATTTCTCAGCATATATTTTAAGAATTCAGACTCAGGCAAACACAGCAAGAACAGCATAATTCTTCCACACATTAACACATTGAACAGAGAAGTCACAACATGCACTGCTGGGTGTATTTCAAGACCTAGAATAAACATGTTTCTGACTCTTGGGTGCTTAAGGATAAACAAGTCCGAACTTGTAGACTGCCAAAATTGCACCCAAAAGAGACTCTGATGCTTCTGTTCTTGTATCCAAACTGCATGAATACTGTTTAATATTTAAGATATTAGAGAGAAATGATCAGAATGGCTTCAGATTCGTTTAAAGGGATGTTTATTAAAAAGCTCTAACCAGATACTTACATTAATTATCCACAAGTTAAATGAAATACCTAAAGCAGGGAGTTTTGCATGTCATTAAGCATTTTATAATCTAGGAAAAGTTATTAAGAAATAATGATATATATTGTCTTTAGGCCACCCTCATTGTGGTGGATATATTATTTAAGCAGGTAATATAGTGAAATAAATAGAATAATAGATTTAGAGCTTGGTGAGATTCTGGATAAAAAAGTACAACAGAACATAGTATGTGAAAATAGTTATTCAAAGTCAAAAAGCGAATTGCTGTCAAGATAGTATCTTCTTTTACCTAATCTATCTTCATTAATCAATCTCAAATGCAATACAGACTTGGACCTTTTAGTATCTTCTTTTACCTAATCTATCTTCATTAATCAATCTCAAATGCAATACAGACTTGGACCTTTTCTGAAACTTTGAAAGTAATTTGAAAGAGTAGTCTTAAAAGAGTAGACAGCATGAAACTAGACATATATACATATTTCAGTTTTCTTCTAGATTTTTTCCTAAAAGTTCTCATGCTTTCTCTCCATATTATATCTGAGAATAAATCACTTTTCTTCAAGGACATTGATCTGTCCAATAAATGGTTGTTATTTTTGACTTGATTTTCTTTTGCATTTTTCCTCATAAATCATTTCATAATCTAAGCATAGTAGAGTTCTTTATCCTCACTCTTATATGTAAGATTGAATTTAAAATTAGATTTCCACATCAGAACAACTCTGATTTTAAGATAATCTTAAATATCTAACCTCCTTTCCATCACATATCCTACCTTACTAATTTAATAAGGCAGACTTTAAAATTTTAAGAAATAGAGATTATATCATTACAATATTTCCTATAAGTGATAAATAAAAATCTGCCATTGGTTTATTTTGCTCTTATTGTCCAATTTTTTTATCTTCAGCATAAAAAAACTTTATAGTCTCTAATCTTAAAGTCTAATATAATCTGGCACTCTAATTTTATCTTTATTGTGGCCCAACCACATAAAGCTTACAAGAAATGCAATTTATTTATTTATTTTTTTTGAGTTGGAGTCTCACTCTGTCACCCACACTGGAGTGCAGTGGCTGCTCCCAGCCATCGCAGCCTTGACCTGCTGGGCTCCGGCGATCCTTCCGCCTCAACCATACAAGTAGCTGAATTACAGGCACGTGCTACCACACCCAGCTAGTTTTTGACTTATTGTAGAGATGAGGTCTTGTCAAGTTGCCCAGGAGTGTCTTGAACCCGCGGGCTGAGGCAATCCACTCACCTCAGCCTCCCAGAGTGCGGGATTACAGGCTGAGCCACCGAGCTGGGCTAGAAATGCAATTTTAGAAGTGCAGTATGACATCAAAGTTTAAAGGCATGACTGAGTCTTCCCAACTTACATATATAAAAACTAATATGAATACATTTTTTTTTATCGCTTGAGCTCCTCAAGCCATAGTTATGTTTTTCCTTTTTCCTCTCACATGTCTCAAAAGAGTTGTCTTTGATAATCTTTTGTATTTCTTTGGGGTCAGTTGTGACTTGATCTTTTGCATTTCTGATTATGTTTACTTGGGCTTTTTCTCTCTTTTTCTTGGCCAATCTGGCTAGGGTCCTTCAATTCTGTTTATCCTTTCAAAAAAACAGCTTTTGGTTTCATTGATTTGTTTCTATATTTTTTTCTTCTATGTACTTACTGTATTTGGGCTTTTACTTTGGTGATCTAGATTCTTCTGCTGTAGTTAGATTTTTGGTAGTATTGCCTTTTCAACTCCCTTCAATGATTTGTTAGGCTGCTAAATTGTGATCTTTCTATTTTCTTGATGTGTGTGCATAGAGTTATAAATTCCCCTCTTAGTACTGATTTCATGTGATCCCAGAGGTTTTGGCAAGATTTGTTTTTGTTTTTATTTGCTTCCAGGAATATTTTGATAGTTATTTTGTTTCAAGTCTTGACCCAGGAGTTTTTCAGCACCATGCTGTTTAGCATCCAAGTCTTTGTATGTTTGGGGGGTACATATACTCCATGGAATATTACTCAGCCATAAAGAAGGACTAAGTTATGAACTTCACAGCAACTTGGAAGGATATAGGGTCTATAATACTCAATGATCTATTACAGAAACAAAGAATTGAGTAGCACATGTTGTTACTCATAAGCGGACCCTGAACATTTATCAAAAGACT